AGCTGGATAGAAAAGATTTTTCGAAATCAGGGTATTCCAACTCCCCCAAATAATTCCTTTATATCCACCAACCCGGTCCAAGCGCCGGACATTTGCTTTTCGTCCTCTTAATTTCGTCAACAACGCCCCCGACGCAAGAACACAGTAACCGTGATTGTATGCACGTGGCCATGTGAGAGCATTTCTAGAGGGAGGGTTAATTCTTCCCACCTTCGGCTGTACCAGGGCATTTGATGAATTGATCCCTTTAGATTAAGGACCTACACCCAAGAGTTTCTAATTCATCGTTGCAGAAATTAGTTTAGTTTGCCATGACCTAAGCACTAGTTTTTCTTTCAAGTATGAATATGTTATATTATACTTTTATCTAAATGTATTTTCTTATTCTTCAGACCGAATCTATGAAAATATATAATAAAAAAACAATATAAATAAACAATATTGTCTATCATTATATCCTTTTAAACATGTTAGTCATTGTAATTATTTCATATAAATATCTATTCAAGTATTATATGAATATTTAACCAAGATTACGTAACAATATTACCTTCATTTAAGTTCATTGAACAAAAGTTAATTAGGTAACAATGAAAAAGTGATGATAAACGGATATAAGACATCCATTTAATACAGATACACATACAGCTTTTGTTATATCAATATATACATATATAGTTTTTACTAATATAATCACATTTTGAATGTAGAAATACATTGTTCCCTTTTTGATCCATACTATGTAATGAAATTACGTTAGATAATAATCAGATATTTTTTCATTACATCTATTTTTAATTACGATTGAATGGATGAAATACTTTGTATTACATGTGATTACATTATTATGTAATACAAGGTACTTTCTGTTGTTATGACTTGCTACTTATAAACAAAAGAGAAAAGATTAGTTTAAAATGTATAAATGAACCAATTAGATTCGAAATAGTGCATTCTTGAGTGTTAATATCAAATCTATTCATTTATATGACAATAAAGGATATGTACTTTGGAAAGTATATTACATCTACCTTTTATTGTTCAATAAATGTGTAACATTTAACCTGACCGTTGTTACTACCTTGACATGGTGGTCGGGCTTGCCTATCGTGATAAACTAATCGAGCTATACTGGCCTGAACAATCGTTCCTCAAAGTTCTACCACACCAGAAAGGTAGGTTGAAGAACGGTAAGACTGAAAGCGGCAAACCGAAGGTCTGAAGAGGATGTCGTACGGCTGATTTTACATGAGTGTGACGGAAGTAATGTGTTTCCTTCAGACAACCAGCATAACAGCGATGATGCCTTTCCACAAGAAGGGGTGAGGTTGGAAGGAGTCGACACCCAAAAATGCCGAAAGTAGATTCCAGCAACAACTGAAGTCACACTTGGGTACTCCTGAAAACGATTCTGACTCATGTTGCTCGTAAAGATATACAAATAGCTGTGGAAACAGCAGTGACATCTATTAGGGATTTATACCGAAGGGTTGCAAAAAACCAATAGATTTCTTCAAGGTCTATTGCACTGAAGGTTTCTCGTAAACTCTGACTCAAGGCAACGCCTAACATTTTTATATTTACCTCAGAGGTGAATGTTGTGTACAAGAATTTCCTTTTATTGAGAATTTCACTTCAAGTTTTAAGATTCACAACAACTGTGGACAGCCTAAGATGTAAATAGGTAATTCCTAGGGTGCTAACAGACAATAAAATTTAAAATTATCATGATGAAGAACCTAACTTTAAATCCTAAACCAAATTTCTAACTCTACTCTTAATTATGACTGCTAACATTGGTTTCTAAACATATCTTTATGTTGGAAAGTGAATAAAGTTTCCCAGAGCAGCTTAAATGTAGCTCAAAGATTACGCATAAATTATAATATAGCCACCGTGATGAACCCTAAAATTATTAGAAATTTTGAATTTACAACCGCGACAATCAATTTTTAAATATTATGTTCTAACGAGACTTACCTAAGAATACGTTACAATAGAAAACAACATAAATATCACTACACTAACCTCTCCGAAGAAAGTATATTGCAGACTGAAAAATTGATCGAGGCAAGCGATGTATAAAATTAAGTCATATGCTGTAAGCATGAAGATAAATTACCTCTATTTTGAATTAAGGATACTAACGATTAATGGCAATAAATTAGGTATTGGGCTTCAGAATTATGTAACCGTCCAAAACAAATAAAAATCTTAGTGTTGACGTATACAAAAGAAAGGTGCGGAATATGTAGTGACTCAAACCGAGGACTGAAAGGAAATATAATTATAAGTAAAGGCAAATCGCAACATACACATAGAAAACAGGGAATATACTCTATTATCTACATATAACGAATGGCAAAAAGGAGAACAAATAATTATTGAATAATTTTACTTGGCGTACGTTTCGAACAATAGAAGTAAATCGAGTTAGCTCAGTTGGAAGATCTTTTTTATACTTGGCATCAATAGTACGAATAAGTGTTCAACAAAATTTTAAGATTACATAAGCCTAGAATTTACACACCAACATGTTACTTTTCGTTCAACCGCTACAGCCAGTAGGATGGAACAGAGAATGGCCTAAACAGATATAAATTTGCTGAGTTATTACATAATTCAATGACAAGCGACATATGCGCACAATCGATGCACACAAATATACATAATGAGTACAGATTCCGTTACGTATACAATATCACAAAAGCCAGGACAAATATGGTATTTTATCAAGATTATCAAAAATTTGTTGAATTATCATGTCACTTTACCTATAATTTGGATATATGAAGGTCATAAACCACCTAACATAGGCTCTAAGTTGGTGGAAAGATATTCACATGATACAAATGTACAAGGAAAAGATATTTTACATCTTGATGATCAACAACGTACGGTGTTGTACGCAAAATTAAGCCTTTTTAAATATGTATACATTTGTAGTGGCATTAGGCCCTACCACGAGACAATATGAGTAATAGACATTCAACATTTAACGCTGAGAAATGCAGAAGAATGGAGGAAGCGGGAACGTTGAATTATAGTTGATCGGATGGTATGGCTCGGCCTTGCAGGCGTGGTCCACGTTGAATGTTATCTCATATCTTTTATTCATATTAAATATATTATTCTATGTCTGGCCTAAGCTTGTTCTCCGTCATGTATTTGTAATTAATACGATGCGATGAGGTCGTGTAGATGATGATGTGACTTACACGTAAGATTTTATAGATTAAGCAGTTACATCATGACAAATCTATAATTTTAGGATTAGGTCTATTATTAGAGCAGTACTAATATCATAGAAGACCATAATTCTACACATTCACCTAAAGAAAGGTTCAAATGAAATTAAATGACAAACATATGTGACAAGTAATTCTTTGCTCCAAACCACATCCGTTACTGTGTGTGTGCTAACATAGTGAAAGACATCACAAATTTCTGAACTTTTTAGGGTCAATTTAAACAACACAGATGGACTAACAATGAAGAACATAAAATTTAACAATATAATAACGTAATGATGATATGAGACAGTGCTGATTCATACACTTTGTTCGAAACGAGTTCAGACCAACAGATTCTATATACACCATAATACTGGTGAGTCAATCTTTATGTTAAATATTATTTACTTAATACTGAGATTTATCCAAAATTAACTAAGAAATCCTAAAAGCAAGGTCATAAAAATCATCATAAAATTACAAATTGCTAAGAACAGCGATCGCCCTTGTTTTATTTCAACACATAACAAACTCCAGAAGTAGCTACAAAGCTTTTTATCTGCCTTGGACTGAGTTTTCAAGCATAGTGATGATTTTAGTCAAATAAAGTTCCTTACACTTACAAAATGAAGTGACCATGAGGTTAAGTTCATAACTGATATGGTCTGATAAACCAATGCTCTGGGCAAACATGATATCAAACTACCCTGCAGAATCAACTGAAACTTGAAAACATACTTCAGCGCACATCTAGGAGGGACACTGACTCCCAACAGTTATTCAACAAAGTAACTCAACCATATATACCCTGGACAATATCCATACTTCGAAAGGAAAAGTGTTGAAACATTGTCAATCAACTTGACGCGACAAAAAGACACAACATTACAATTCACTTCGAAATGGATAAACAAATACAATCCTAGAAGCCGAACAGTATCTGCAAAATCAGTGGGCTTAATTTCCAATCTGGCAGCCCGAATGACTTCGTAAATACTAAATATAGAACAAAGATTAACCGTTGAATTGCTAGTTTAAGCAGTGATTAGTGCCCATCTCAAGAGATAGGGAAAGGTTAGAACAAAGCAGAAGCTGAGATTGTTTGCTAAGTGAAGATCTCTCAAGAGCTCTTATCGACAAAGGACTAGATCTGCTGTGAAATATCATCCGTATACGAGTTCGACGCGCACCATATACTCCAAATATCGGCTTCATAAATGTTCAAATCTAACGGCCAACTTGCTTTATTCTATCTCATCCTCGAACAGAGACATACAGACAAGAGTTTTCAGACTTACCGTTAACCCGATGAGTTCGTTTCCATGTAGAGTAATTGGAATACTCACAACTTTAGAGAAATTAATGCATCATTTTAGTTGGTCGACTCAAAACACAAAAGTCAGACAGGATGTATTTAGCAAACCGTACTAAATAGATCACTATTATCTGAGCGATTGTCGGCACGCGATGCATCTAGGTGAATTTAAGCAGTTGCGCGCGAACGCGCTCTTCAACTCTTTGAGAGGGTATTTGGCTGTCATATACTCAGGAAACTCTCATGCCTATAAACATCATGATATGAACTTCTCCTTTGTCTGAACTTTCTAAAATCGCGAAATCTGTTGATAGTCCAGGACCGTTTGAAACTGGAAAATATGTCAACAGTAAGGGATGACACTTAAACAGATTTTACTAAAAATAGATTTACTTAAAATGGATACTGAATCAACTAGGTTTCTTCGAAACGTCCAGTGATTTTTTAGAAAACGTCGTGACTTTAGCCAAACGGATTTACTTGACGTACATTCGCTTGTCACAATTGTATTGATTTTTCGCTCATTGAACATCGGCAGTTTGTTTTTGTTTACGCGGTATTTTGTCTTCTAGAACATGATGTCGAGTGGAGTCAGATATTCTGAAAGAAATGATCCTAATTGTTCCAGGGAATTTACTCAAAAAATTCCAAAATGCGAACCACTTCCAGATTACCACTTTTTCTGTCAGCTTGCCCATGGAAGCCCCACCGGAATTATACATGGTTTTACCACAGTCCGTCAGCTCCACACGAAAATATCGGAGTGTTTTGATATAAATCCGTCTCAGGTAGAGTTTAGTTATTTAAACTGCATATCTTTATCTTTATTAACTACTATCTGTCATTTTTTAATGGTTATAAGGTACTTCTCATCTCAACATGTTTGGTTTCAACATACAGCTGTATGTTGATATTTAAAGATATCTAGATATCTTGAAATATCTTTTTTACGCATTCTCAAGCTTATTTCTTAATAATACGCCAAACAATCCACCTTGCAAATATCACATGAGAGACTAGGTCTTATTTTTATGCGTATGCGTAATAATCGCATGTATTAGAATGCACTCGATTTTAATACCTTTTTGGAAACGACACGCAAACATATTTTAAGGTGAAAAACACGCACAAAAAAGAAACACTTGTGTTTTAGTCGATGAGCGCTGTTTTTATCTCATTCTCTCTTTTATTCCCGAATTATTATGAATAACAACAGTTGTAATCTGTTTGGCTTGATAATGTCTGTAATCAAATAGACTAAGACGATTGAAATGTTGAGGACAGATAGCGGTTGGAAGATATTGAAATTATACAAAAATATTAAACTTTTGTGATTATATTCTCATCACCATTATATATGACTACTTCTCTTTCACTTATACACATTATCACTGAAATGTACACTTGTTTCATATGCCGAATTATACAGGAAGATCAACTGGATGGTAGTGAGAAAGTAAATTGTAAATTTAAGGTCCGGGGTCAAAGTGATGTTATCGGATGTTTGTAGATTTGGCAGCAGTATGATGTTTCTCACAAATGAACATCATCAACAGTACCTACTTCTCACAACACAAGGTGTGTTTAATCACTATTTATGCTTTTTATCGAGAGAGTTTTACCTAAATGTTTTACTTTATACCACCTGTCTTTTAATTAAATCATTTTACAGTTGATTAGTTTGCGAATATACCGTTTTTGTGATAGTTTCATATCTTTCTAATAAACTGAATCAAGCAGCATATATCTGACTTGCTTTCTAATAAAATACATTTTCTAAATAGAATTTTCATGACTTCATCTCAAATCTCTATATGTTACTATTTAACAAGTTCTTTCAATCTTAAATCTGGTTTAATATGTGGTTAAGTTACATAAAGATGATCAGCATATTTATAATATTTGATCACGTGTTGTTGTTTTCTATCAAATCACTCTTTATAGTTCTACACGATATCTTCTTGAAACCCATGGTAGCTTCTCTTTTTTATTGTATTAGTACAAACCAACTCATTTAGTTGGTGACTGAGTCAAGAAATTTAACATGAGTGTAAGTCGTCTGTCCAAGAAAGCATATTGCATGCATAAGAAGTAACTTTCACCTATTTTAAATCCTTATTATTCTCTTTTGATGCACCATTAGTTATTGCTTTTGAACAGTGACACACTGACTATATGTTTATAGATAAATTTGTTATTAGTAGGATACAATAATAATGTTAAGGTTTAAATTTGGTAATTTTATGTTTAATTGTAATATGGTTGAACATAATTTGTACTTTATTAGTGAACAATTTTCTTTAATAACGACTTATATCTCCCAAAAAGACCAATTGTTGGTGACCGTGAAGTTTGTTTGGATCTATATTCACTTGGTTGTTCCTTAGACGCTGTCGTTAAAAGGGATGTTTTAACGATATTTCATGAGATGCAACAATGTATTAAGTAGTAGGCTATTCTCTTCTGCCTCTACTCATACGTATTCTATAACGATGTTTAATGTAGTATATAGTAAGTGAAGGAAAAACCAATTTAATCAGTAGTGTTGATATCTTCTCATAGTCGTTATGCTTGTTTTAGGTTTTGTTCGTCGAAGAATTCTAAATTGTAAGGTGATAAATACAAACAAAAATATTGTTTCATTTCCTTGGATGAGACTTTGACAATTGTAGGGTATTTTTATGTTGTAAACACTGTCTCAAAGAAATTTAATTCGGGATTTTTGCTAAGCGTCTATTTCACAAGAGTTACATTTTATATATATCACTGATCCGGTGCCCAGCGGCGTTAATGTCTAACTTCAACCAATCTATGAAATTGCGCCGCCGTCACCAATGCTTTCAGTAAACTGGTATCTCACAACAGACCTGGTTGAAATTCACTGGTCCCGACTTCTCACTAGAACTCTAGGAATTTATCTTAAAGTCATTCACTAGTGAGCAGATGATTATTATCAGAAGGGGTTTCGTGGAGATCTTAGTGATTTCAATATTTTGTTAAAGTTAGATATTAACACCGTTGGATGCCGGCTCAGTGGTCTAATGGTTAAGCGCTCGCGCGCGAGAATTCCATTCTATGACAACACAACTGCCTGTTGCCTACGGATTTTGTTCCCAGTTTTAATTAGAACCAGTTTTTTAACCGCTTATTCTTATCTTTATTTCATATGATAACTATACAAAGTAGTGTTATTGCCATTTATGATAGAAACCAGTGAATACAATTTATATATGCATCAAGATTTCTTGTAGGAAAAGATATTAAGATAACGAATAAGGACTTTCGTCTAAATTTGATCGAATAGTTTCACAGTATTTGGGTGTCAAGTTAGTGTGAGACATTAAAGAGGAAGAATGTATTTGTAAAATCTCAGCAAATGAATTTTGAAGTAGATTCAAAGTTTTGCCTAGCAATCTGGTTCAAGCTTTTTCAAGGAAATATAGAATCAAACATCAAAATTGTTGAATATAAATAAGGTACATGGTTCCCTGGCTCACTGTATACTGAATATGTCATCCAATCAACGTGAACACTGTTTAAAGTAGGCATTTTCATTAGTGTGTAAGAGATATGTGGTGTGAAATGAAAAGTATTAAGATAACAGATTATGTATATACATAAGTGATGTGAGAAGATATTTGAGCGATACTAAAATGGCCTTTAATACGTTCATCTACTTACTAGAGCTAAATGAGAATGATGAAGTAGTTTGAAGAATAAAGATTATGATTTACAATTGATGGTTATGATTACAATTTTGATTTATAGTTTTCATCACAAACTGACATCATCTAAGTTGTAAAAATGCTAAACAAATGAATGAACTGTGCGCCAAAATCCATGACCTGTTATCGTAAATCTGATTGGTTTGTACATTAATTAGAGTTTCGCCTTATTAGCTTACACTAAATCAAGAAATATCAAAGAATTCAATTTTTCAATTCATTCTACAGTTTAAATTCTCATCAGTAAACAGGATCTTCCAAGAAGTTTTTGTACGAATAACTGTCAGTATAGTATACTCTGGTCACTAATAAGAATTTCAGATTGATATTTGTATCTTAGAATATAGTCATACTTCTTTAATATACATTTGAGTTCTTTACTGAAGTTAGATTGTTATGAATAATGAGTTATGATTAGATAACATATACACTACTAATAACATAATAGTCTAAAACTGATAAAACGTCAGGTATTATAACTGATTTACTTCAGATAGTCCTTTTACTATTATTATGACTAGTAATTCTAGGTTATCCTAAAAATTTTATTTATTTTTAAGAAATCTGTTACATATATACATCTCTCAAGTTGATGGAGAAGATTTGTAGCTCAGGTGACTGATTTTAATAGAATTTTGTTCTTTGAGCTGAATGAACGACCAAACCATTCAGATTAAAGAACAAAACTCTATCAATATACAACTGTCACCTATTTTTTAATGGGTGATAATTGTTTACTCAAAAGTAGGTTGGTAAAAATCTATATGCAAGCAAACCAACATATGGAATTAGTTCATGTGATCATTTACTTTTTGATTTGATCTATATTGTTAGATGCAAACTATTTCTGAAATAGAATCTTAATGATGAATCATTTTTATGATTGTTTCCACTTAAATAATATCGATCTGTTTACAATTCATTTGCTCATTATTTTCATCTTTCATTGTTAACCACTTGATTATAAAATAATCCATATACATATATATGAACACAGTGACCTGGAACAAAGGTTGCATATACAAAATAGATACCTTGTAATATCAGTAAGATTGCAGTAATTGTAACAAAAAACAAACAGTCACATAAATGTGTAAACTACCATCTATACACTAATCACTGAAATAAAACTGATGATTCACTTGATATATCAATAAAATACAAATGATGTGTAATTGTTGGATTAAACATTATTCTCTCAAGAAACAGTTTCCAGTCTTGTACAGTTTGTAAACCTAAAAGTTAAATCAATCTTCATGAAATACCTTCAATGAAAGCATGATAATTATCTCAGTCGTGATGTACTTCAATGCATTTCAAAAGTTCTAGTAAGAAGTCATGACTGGTTAAGATTAGACATGTTGAGAGTCAAGAAAAATATTTTTATTATCAATGAGATAAGAAGGTTGTTACCTTGTAAACAAGATGAAGTTGAAACTGCACAACTGGATTTCGACTGATTGGTTATAATATTTAGGTGTTCTTTGTGAAATTAGAAAGTTTATGGTTTGATTTCCGGCTAGGTTGTCAGTTTGAGCTTCTGCAAAGCTTAAAACTGACATGAAGAAAGCATTGACTGCCTAGTATTAATTGATAATGGTTGCAAAATATCACAAACCGGATAAAGTTTAGAATATAAATTAGTAGATACCAACGCAATAGTTTTACAGTTAAGCAATTTCCACGAGACTTGAGGATCCTATCGCATACCACTGGTAAAACCGTCAGTCAGTCAGTCAACTACAATGTAAGACCAGGCACATATAGGCATCGGTCTAAATTGTCATACCTCATTAACACAACAAGATGAACACAAAATTCACAGGAGGAGTTGATTCAATCGTAGTAATATATAAAAGAAACATTGTGTATAGAGATATAGTACAGGATGAAAGGATTAGTTCGTAGAAAAAAAGATATAAGGCAATTTTAATCTCATGATTTAAGGGAAGACAAAAAGTGTATAGACTGACACCATTGTGATCGATTCTGAGCTATGTCACTCAGAGTCTCCAACCATTGGTTACGATAGTCATATGAACCCCAAACAAGTAGTCTGCATCTAACAATATGGCTAAGACTGGACGATAGTGACATCAAGAACTGATGCGACTTTTTGTTTCGGCAACCGCTAACTTTCTTCCAACCGTCTCCAACACTAGTCATCATTGCGCGTCGTGGTATTCGGTGTTCAGACATACGTAACACGTGGCCCAACCATCTTATTAGTTGATGAAGATTTACAAACGGTGAATGTCCACAACTAAATAATCAAAGACATGGATAGATCAGCTGTACAATACTTGCTTATTGTTATTGTTGTTGTTTTAATTCAAATTTATAATCATCTGTATACATTTTCATTGTTTTTAAAATTCGATATGCATCATTGATTATAATTTCAGTATGCATATAAGTAATAAATTAAAGTGAAGAAACATTTTCGCTTTAATTTTTTCACTTTAGTGAATTACTTACTTACGCCTATTACTCCACAATGGAGCATAGGCCGCCGACCAACATTCTCCAACTCAATCTGTCCTGGGCCTTTCTTTCAAGTTCTGTCAAATTCTTGTTCATTCTTCTCAGTTCTGTCTCTATTTCTCGGTGTATTGTATTCTTTGGCCTTTCTCTTCTCCTTTGGCCTTGAGGATTTCATGTGAGAGCTTGCCTTGTGACGCAGTTGAATGCTTTCCTCAATGTGTGTAACATCAACTTCCAGCGCTTCTTCCTGATTTCTTCCTCTTCTGGGATCTGGTTTGTTCTCTCCCACAGTACGTTGCTGTTGATAGTGTCTGGCCATCGGATCCGAAGTATTTTGCGTAGACAATTATTAATAAACACTTTTATCTTCTGAATGATGACTTTCGTAGTTCTCCAAGTTTCCGCCCCATACAGTAGAACTGTCTTGACATTTGTATTGAAAATTCTGATCTTGATGTTGGTTGACAGTTCTAACTCGCTAAAAAAAAACGCTAACCAGATAAAATCATTAAAACCTTTTTTGGTGAATAAATTATGTAAATTAGCATTAAATTTATGAAATGAGTAACAACAAAATTTTCATTTATAAGAAAGTTTAAACTGATTGTTTTTTTTTCTCATCTATATATTGTTTAAGAAAAAAAAAACAATCCAATGAACCAATGGTTGTCATAGTGATGTAATAGCTTAAGATTAAATTATAATCAACTGAAGAGGTGTACAATAGAACGAAACAATCATTCTCAATTTCATTATAAACTATTCATATATATGTATTAATTGATTGTAGGTCAATTTCTAATTATAATTCTATGATGTAGATACAAAAAGATTCATGATCTCAATCAAAAACTTAATAATCTCCATAACGCCTATACTAGTAATTAACTTGTGTTCACTAATAACTAGCTTCGTGAGGGAAATCTTGGAGTTCTAGTGAGAAGCCGTGACCAGTGGAGCTAATCCGTGTCAAATAGAGACAGGTATCTACCTCAGTACAATGGAAGATGGTCGTGCGATTTCGTGGATTGGTTGAGGTTATACATTAACACCATTGTATGCCGGTTCAGTGGTCCGGTAGGTTAAACGTTCGCACTCGAGACTGAAGGCCCTGGGTTCGAATCCCGCAAGCGAGATCATGGATGCGCACTGCTGAGGAGTCCCACAATGGGACAAAACGGCCGTTCAGTGCTTCAAGGTTTCCAACGAAAGTCCAAAATCAGTCGGTCCATGATCTTAATCAAAAACAAAAAGAAAAATTATCACTTAATTAGGCAAGATAAGGATCGAGTGTAAAAATTTGAAAAACTAACAATCAATCCAATCATCTTAAACGTTGTCTCTCAAGTTCAACTCTGTCGATGAGCACTGAGATGAACTGAAAATAGGTAGGCTAGTGAACAAAAAATATGAAGATGGAACAATCGAATGCATTTGAACATGAAATTATAGAATATCTCACTAGAATCTGAGATCCATACAGTAAATAGTTAATTTGCAAAATATCAATCCATCGTCTTAAACTTGACTGTTTCATCTCAGACTTCACTGTTCCTGCATTTTCATACTCATTCCTTCCTGTTCTCGTTCTTTCCTTCTTGATCTTCTACTGAAATACATTCTATTCTTCACTATCGTTATATAATACTTATGTGGATATAAGTTCCTTACATCAAAGATAGAGACGAACTGCTGAGGAGTATTTTACCAGGATGAAACGATCAACCATTACTTTCAGGTTTTCAATGAGGATTCAGCTTGTTATTTAAACTATTAAGATTCCAGTTCTACATGTCTTATTTTTGACTGGAAATAAAATTTAGGCACCAATAAAAGAAACCGGTATGTCAATAATAACTAATTAATTCATTTATGAAACTATCTATAACCTGGATCATGATATACTCTTATAAAAGTTTACGTTGTTCTATACATCTTAATATTCTACCATGTGTACCTTTCTTTCAGTGAGGTTAGGTGCAAGGTATTACGGAATGATGGTAATTCAGTTGACGAGGTTGTGAATATTCATCAACTACTAAGATCGTTGGGCCACGTGTTACGTATGTCTGAACACCGAATACCATGACGCGCAATGATGAATAGTGTTGGAGACGGTTGAAAGAAAGTAGGCGGACGCCAAAACAAAACGTGGTATCAGTCCTTGATGTCACTATCTTCTAGTCTTATCCATATTGTTAGATGCCAACTACTTGTTTGGGGTCCATGTGACTATCGTAACCAATGGTTGGAGACTCTGAGTGACATAGCTCAGAATCGATCACAATGGTGTCAGTCTATACACTCTTTGTCTTCCCTTAAATCATGAGATTAAAATTGCCTTATATCTTTCTTTCTACGAACTAATCCTTTCATCCTGTACTATATCTCTATACACAATGTTTCTTTTATATATTACTACGATTGAATTAACTCCTCCTGTGAATTTTGTGTTCATCTTGTTGTGTTGATGAGGTATGACAACTTAGACTGATACCTATATGTGCCTGGTCTTACATTGTAGTTGACTGACTGACTGACTTTTTTCAGTGATCTTATTCTTAGGTATTAGGTCAATTATCGTGTGACAGGTCTCGTTTTTGTTGTATTACGCAAACATTATCAATTCAACATGGTTTTACTTTATTTTGAAATAGGTATATTCTGAGAAACTCTGTGGTAAAGTTTGGACAAATTTGGATTGTAGCAATATAATAAAATCCAGACATCATATTTCTTCCTGTTTAGTACTCACTAGTTAGACTGTGTTCTATGCTACTTATACTGACAGATATAAGTAGTATGTAGCACTAATTGAATGTAGAATGCTTTTCAACAAAAGATTAGATTGAAAGGGGACAGGAAAGGAAGTAAAGAGCATTTGTGATAACAACAGGATTAAAAGTATGATGAAGCATATACAGGAAAACTGAAGGAAAATGTATCAATAATGTATTCAATGTATACTTATCGTATTTTATCAAAATAACCTGTACTTTTCATAAAACATTGAATTGGTTTTCTCTCCAACCCACGTTCTTGTTCTCTACAAGATATTTAATTCACATAAATGATTACAATACAAGATATAATTCAAATTTACTTAAACGTATAACTAAAGGTATTATCATAGTGATCCTTACATGATTCATCTATCATAACACAGAATAATCGAATGCATTTCCTATTAAATAGATCAGTTCATTTGTACTGTGATAGATTACTTATTTCATTATATCACTCTTCGTTTTATCTTTTCATCAACAATACAAATGATGCAATGTTCTAGAGAATATGCTTCCAATTATAAAGGTCACAGGTTCAAAAGTCCAATTGATCTCCTTTACTTTGAGTAACCGGGTAATATCACTAACCCATATACACAAATGGTATAATTTTAAACATAGACTCAAAGTTAATGAATTACATTTTAATACAAACAATGATGTAAATTTCAATCGTTGAAATCATGAATCAATTGAAAGTAAACTATCATGGAAAACCTGAAAGCAATGGATGGCCGTTTCGTCCTAGTATGAAACTCTTCAGCAATGCACATCCATGATCCCTTGACGAGATTCAAAACCAAGATCTCCACAAAACCCCTTCTAGTAATAATGTAAAATTTTATTTAATCACACCAATGTGACCTATTTATTCACTTTTTTTTCCCCCCTTTCTTTATCTCTTCTTTTTTTTTTTTCTATTCATATCATTTTAGATAATGTATTGTACAAGAAATACACATAAATTAGATATGGATAAATTATTAAGCTATGAAATTGGTTTAAATGATTTTTTATTTGCACATATTAAAGGACAACCAAAAGAGATTAAAATACGTAAAACAAGTGAATCATTTGGTTTAACATTAACAGATAATGGTTGTGGTGTAGTTATTATAAAACGTATTAAACCAGGAGGTTTTATGGATAAAGTATCTAAAACATGTAATGGATTAATACAACCTGGTGATCAAATTGAAAAAATTGATAATATCTCATTTAATGGTCGACGTCATTATCATGTAGCATCATATTTACAAAGTATACCTATACAAAATGTATTTTGTCTACGATTAATTTCACCAGAACGTTGTCCTATGTGTAAGCCTATATTGTTATTGTTTTACAATTTATTCTTTTCTTTTTTTTTCTTTTCATTCAGTTCCATTTATGAAATTATATTCAAGTAATCTCTTTATAAAATATGATCATGTTTGTATTCCGTTGATGATGTATTACTTAAATGATAGATTACGTTGAAATCATCACCTCATTCATTTGAAAAGACATAAGGCAATGGTATACATGAAAGTATAATGGAAGAGAAACAAATGTAATTGTAACATTATGGACCATTTTGAGCAAACTATTAGTTAGGATAATTTATAATGGGCTACAACTAAGTAGTGTATATTTAACAGCATAGTCTAATTCGACAATTAATAATTTCAATCATTAAGATCATGAGTCAGTTGAAGCTAGACCAGCATGGAAAACCTGGAAGCACTGGACGGTCGTTTCGTCCTATTGTGGGACTCCTCAGCAGTGCGCATCCACGACCTCGCCCCCTGCTAGATTCGAACCCAGGACCTACTGGTTTCGCGCGCGAGCTCTTAACCACTAGACCATTCAGCCGGCATCCAACGGTGTTCATGTCTGACTTCAACTAATCCACGAAATTGAGCGACACATCCACCATTGTCTTCAGTGAGATACTATTGTGGGTTCGAATCTCGCAGGGGGCGAGGTCGTGGATGCGCACTGCTGAGGAGTGCCCCCAAATACCCTGGTACGGCCGAGAGTGGAGAGAGTCCGCTCTCCCTCTCGAAATGCTCTCACGTGGCCACGCGTATATAGCCTCTGCCAGGGAAGTCCTACTCACTGCCTTCTCGTGGCGGGGGTGTTGTTCACAAAAATGAGAGGACGAAAAGCGAATGTCTGGCGCTTTAACCGGACCCCAAACCAAACCAATGGTGCACATGGGCTCCAGTATCCTGCGGGAACAAATGGCGTGTGAACCAATCGTTGGTCACCGGCTACCATGGGACTGCATCTCCTCACGATGCTCCACTGCCTTGTGGGTCAGACGTTCAGGTCAAAGGCTCGGGGTGTGGCCCCCTAAGAAAACCACCTGCTTCGGTTTGGGCACCCGAGCAGTATCACAGCCCTCACACAAATCAATTGAGATTTGTGTGGCGCATATGTATTTGGTGCCTTCCTGTACCTATACTTACGTGTTAAAATAAATAAATAAATAAATAAACTGCTGAGGAGTCCCACAATAGGACGAAACGGCCGTCCAGTGCTTCCAGGTCTTCCATGGTGGTCTAGCTTCAACTGACTCATGATCTTAATGATTGAAATTATTACAATCTCCACAAAACCCCTTCTGATAATAATTAATAATTTGACAGATTAATGTCATCTTCGTTTGACATCTTCAGCATTCTTCTAATCTATTTCTATACAACTAACCTACGCTTGTCATGATAGGTAGTAATTAAGCATACATAGTAAACGTTTCTTTACCTAGTACCATGTGTTTAATTTAAACATTGTCTACTCAATCGTTTCACATTATACAAGCAATGTTTCAAAGACATCTTCATTCAAAAACATGCAATCTCATTTTGTAGACTATATTTCACAGGTAAAAATTAGAACATAACAAACTGAAGGTAGACACTGGTGAATTAGTATATGAAGATAGCTTGTGAAATTTGCTCGGTACACAGCTACTTCTCATTATGAACTGATAAAATTTAAAGCTTATTTCTTCAAAAGCCATTCCATTTAATATGAGCGTTCTTTTTTCTGGAAATAGTTGAGTTTTGTGTTATACATTATAGACTTATCTTAAAAAGCTGGGAAGCACTAAAAAAACTATTCATTTCAGTATATGACACATAAATATTGCACGGCTACTAACCCTTAGAGGTCGAACACAAGACTCGATAGGATAGATTTAGTGGATTTGACCTACAGTGACAGGGTTGTAGATGTGCACTTCTAAAGAGTCCTATATGAGATTGAAACAGACATCAGGTACTTCCAAGTTTTCAATGATTGTCTAATTAATCAATTCATCATTATTATTTCACTTAATCATTTGACAATATTATGATTATGATCTTCTCAAAATAAACTCCAGATAAATACCTAATTATCTAAGTATCATTCGATATACTTAAAGTTAGAATTCGACGAATCAATAATACCACAAATCAAGTAACCTAACTTAACCAATAGAATTCATTCATTTCCATGGAACTAGATAAACATAACAATGATTATTACATATTGATCAATCACTTGTAAACAACAACAAAAAACTACTTTCTGTAAATCAGTTTATAGATTATGTAAATAATAGTAATATCTAAATCCTGGATGTAAATTGCTTGTGAGTATGTAATATAATTATGATGTATTGTGATTTATCTATTAAGTACAAATTTCTGTATTTAGTTTTAAAGCTATAAGGTCTATATGAAGTCTTATTGTATTTTCATCTGATGATTACTCGAATCAAAATAGACTCTATCAAGTTCAAATATACAAACTAATTATTTGAAGTGTTTTTTATGATATTCTATCAAAATATCGTTTAAACTCCTGGACTAAATTCGTTGAATGTAACTTTTCAGTCGATGTAGAAGGAATAATAGGAATTGAGGAGGAAGGCTGACTATGAATACAGTGGTCTTGAGTCCTGTTAGAGCTATGAGGGCGGTTATCAATTCCCGGTTGCCCACACTGTGAAAGAATTCTTCTGGAGGTACCTGAAAAGTACATTGAGTTAGGGGTGGTCATAATGACCTGGGATCATGACCGCAGTGCTTAAGTTCGGTTACATACGACTTTTTGGCGGGTAATTTTCGTGTTACCTCTGTACTTGTTGAGATCTTGCCGCAGGAGACAGATATTAGTGGGATAAGTCGAGGTGTACAATTTTAGGGTCGACCTTTTCTTTCTAACCCCACCCTTCTTTGTGGGAAGGCAGCATCGCTGTTATTCTGGTTGTCTGAAGGAAACACCTAACTGCCGTCACACCTCTGTACAGTCAGCAGTACGACTTCGCCATCAGACCTCAGGTTTGCTGCTTCTAGTCTTACTGCTGTTCAACCGATCTCTCTGGTATGGTATGACCTTGAGGAACGATTGTTCCGGCCGGTATAGCTTGATTGGTTCATCACGATATGCAAACCCGACTACCATGTCAAGGTAGCAACATGGGTTGGTAAATGTAACTTTTAATTTCACGAGATTATTTAAAAACTCCCAACACCCCCTTTCTTCAAATTAGATCTCACTTATGATAAATTTCAGTGATATTTTCTTCGAAATGAAATCTTTTAAATCTTATTCGCAAGTGAAAATGTTCTCAGTTTAAAGGTAATTCGTACCACAAAGGAATATTAAGTGGGATCGAAGCTAAGAAATATCGAATATATGTTTTGTTTTAAATTCAAAAGACTTTAAAGACATGAAGCTTTTAATTTCTGTGATTAACTACATATGTTACCAGTGATATCATTCAAGAAATGTATGAAAGTATTATGTGGATTTGAATCATAAAAACTGGTAGAGGAAGAGTAGATAACGAGTTCTATTAATGAAGGAAGGATGATTATCACATCCTAGCTCTTTTCATTGTAGAAGAATGCTTATTCTTGAGTTGCAGCAGAAAGAAACTTCATGATGGATGGCTTTGACGACCTGAGGGCAATAGTATGATGCACAACAGACATTTGTTTAGAACTGCCACAAATGACATTTTTGGATAGTTTCAGTATACCCTCCTAAACTATCATACGAAGGATTATGATTTGTTTAACCATCACCTGTTTTGTCTCACTTATATCTAAGTTATATTCATATTGTTATCTTCTCACTGTATTACTATGTGGTCAGACATCTCAAAGATGAGTTTTGTGTCATAACGGAAATAAACATAATAGAACACTTGTCTGTTTTCTATCTTCATCTTCTGATTGATCACTGTGTTGGAAGTAGCTGGAGCACAAATAAACGTCAAGGTCTTGTGACTGTTGTTCATTGGTCTGTTTGAAAATTGGTAAATAGGTCACCGGTATGGATGAACTAGTAGATAATTGGGCTAACGAGAGGTCAGACAACTGCATTCTCATCATTACGGGTTGGTAACACGTAGCCTAAAATAACTCAAGCAATTTGTATTTTTTCTAAAAAGATTTATAACCAGTGATGACTAAGTGTGTTCAATCCACATTAGTTTTGTTTTCTAGTTAATACAATTTTCCATAACCAACTATCTTTACATAGTAATTTCTTCCAATTAAGCTTATTAAACTAACAGAACTTAACCTAATGTGATATACAATGTTCAAGGTTCAGTAACATTGTGATTATACTAGTTTCTAAATAGGCAAAGATGGATAGTGGCTAAAAGTGGAATCCAGGACACGCATTTCGTTCTATTTGGGACTCGCCATCTAGATACACCTGCATCCAAGAGTTGATGTTCATTCTAGGACTCGAACTCAGTGCCGTTCGCTTCAAACGCAATTGCGTTATCCACTTAGCTACTGAGTCCCGATAGTCACCTGCTTGTGTCATGGGGTTCACTCATTGTTGCTTACTTGTATCTTCACATTGTTATTTAGGACTGAAATTGATCAGTCTCTCTCTTATTGGCATATGTGCATCCTATGCGGATTGTACTGCGAACGGTACTGGGTTCGAGTGCCGGATTGAACATCAACTCTGAAATGCAGGTACAATAAACTGATGACTCCGAAATAGGACGAAACGTGCGTCCTAAATTTCACTGTTAGCCACTGTCCATCTCTGCTTATAAAGCTTGTGAAATAAGGCAATATCGAGGTAGTCCGCATAGGATGCACATATGCCAATATGAGAATAAACAATTGCAGTCCCAAAACAACAATGGAATGATTCCAACAAACAATACCATGAGAATTTGAACTTCACCCTATTGCACAAGCAAACGGTACTGGGTTCGAGTCCTAGAGTGAACATTAACACTGGGATGCAGGTATATCCAACCGACAAGTCCCAAATAGGACGAAATGCGTGTCCTGGATTCGATTTCTATCCACTATCTATCTTTGCTTATAAAGCTTGTGATTTAAGGCAATATCAAGGCAATACTGTTTTATTTATTAACTTATAAATTTGCCATATCATCTATTGACTAAATGATTTTCATGAAAACTAAACATAACAATAATTCAATTTATTGCTCAAATTTTATATAAACCTGTTTTGTTTTCCGTTATTCATTAATGAGTTATTACACCTCACACATTATATTGACAACAACTACAACAACAACCCTAACCACCACCACCACCACAGCAACAACATCCTTTTATACAGCTAAAACGAAATATCAAATTGATTAGAGATAGAAAAGTCCAAGAAACAAAACAAAACAAAAAAATCATAATAAGAAATCAATCTTCATTGCAAAAAAGGATACATTGCTATTGTGACTACTCTCCTACATCCACTTACACTACACACGCTCACACATACACAAATAACACAGACATATACACATATCTTCATGTGATTATGAGACAAAAAATTTATTAGTGTTATTGATAATATTTATTATGTAATCAATGTAAAACCATTCCAATGTAATGAAAGTATAGATATGTAAACATTAAAACTACAACTATTCATAAATTCCAGATTTAATGTTTATTATCAGTATTAGGGCTGTGGCGATTATTAAGTTTGTGATTGAGATCATGAATCGACTGATGTTAGATCACCATTGGAAACCTGGTGGCACTGGGCGGCCGTTTCGTTCTAGTATCGGACTCCTCAGCAGTGTGTATCCACGATCACACCTTCGGGATTCGAACTCCGGGCCTTAAGTTTCGCGCGCGAACGCTTAACCCACTGGACCACCGAGCCGGCATTCAATGGTGTTATTGTCTAATATCAACCAATCCACGAAATTGTGCTACCATCTTCCATTGTACTGAGGTAGATACCTGTCGATACCCGACACGGTATGCCATATGAATAGAAATTTTTATTGAGTTCATAAATCAATCTTAGTTAGATAACTGTAAAGCTTATCAGTAATGTGCATCTACGACCACAGCCCTAGGGGATCGAACCCATGATCTTCTGTCTCATATGCACGAACTCTTAACATCTAGACTACTGAGTTGTTATGTATTGGTGTATATGTCTAATTACAATCGATTAATGATATTGCGCGTCCATTTTTACCTTCCGGATACCTGACACAGTTAAACTTAAATTAAATATGTCTATCCACTGTTCCTAAGTTTTCAATAGTTTAAACATTACTGGTCTATTTGCATACTGGTACACGTTCGGTGTATCCTCATTAAGAATATCAGTCCTTCAAACATTAAACAAGAAATCTTCCTTGAATGAAATAAAACATTTAACAGAAAGGGATATCATATAGAAATTGAAGAACATCAATTGAGTTAACTAGAAAGTTCAATAGTTGAAATAATGAGTCAATGGAAGCTAGATCCCCATGGAAAACCTGGAAGCACTGGACGGCTGTTTCGTTCTAGTATATCCTGGTGATACGATTATTTTCATTTTGATCATTATTCAATTTTAACAATTAAATAAGATTTTCTATTGTCCTATACATTACATGATTTAAATGTAAGGAGTATTTGAATGAAACATTTTATCAGAATATCAGAAATTTAAAGATAATGGATTCTATAAGATAGATTAATTAATTACTGTTAGAGAGGTTAGATCCCCAGAACTCACTTGGAAAAGGATCTAATTTTGTAATTTTATTTAGAAAATTTGAATTTCTTTGTTTTCGCTCCAAAAGCGCTCTTGTCACGTTCATGTCGTATTTCCCACGTGGGAAATATCTTAAATGCTATTGGTCCGTTGCATCTTTTAGTATGCTATTTGGTAACTCTCCCCAAAGGACGGTTTTGTACTGTATATATACGTTTTAATTTGGGTTTGTCGTTATCGCTCGTTTCTGGCTGTTTGCAGAATATACTTCCACATTTCAAGCTTGGACTTCTTCCTCTAGTTAGTGGATCTGGGACGCATCAGAATATCTAGCTTATCGGTCTTCGATCACAAGTCTTTATTCCGTTCGCAGATTAAGTGAACTCGTAATAGCTTCAAACCTAGCAATTACGGAACTTTCATTATCCCTCTGCATAACATTTTCAATGGATAATTCATAAAGATATGAATGTTCTGAGCATTCCTTATGTGTTTTATCATTTCATTCTAATGGTCTTATTTGAAATTAACTATCTTTGTTAGTTCTGTTGATTTTCTTTCTCTTTCTATTCATATTGAGTAAGATGAATTAAACGGTTAACATTTGTACTGGTAGTGAATAAATAACAATACTTTGTATTCACATTTGATTGATCATCACCCAAGGATTTCAGTCCTATAGCAGGTCAGTCGTGGCCCGGATAGCCCAGTGATAACGTCTGTGACTGTGAAGCCGGGTGACACGGGATCGAATCCATCAAGGAGTACCAGATCCCTCAATATTACAGGTACACCCTGTTGACGAGTGCCCACTAGTACGAAACCCGGGCCCAGCGTTTCCTGTTGACTACCTTCAACCACCATCTAATCTCACAATAGTGCCTACAGTGTCGAGTCACTTAGACTCTGAAATGCAGGTACATCCTGGCTGACGAGTCCCGAATAGGACGAAACATTTATCTTAGTTTTCACCGCTAGCCATTATCCATCTAATTAGGGAATTTCTATAATGTAATATTAAATAATTTTATACTACATAAGAATTAATATTTTACTGACTTGTTATATATTTACATTCTATACAATTCAGATATGATAAGTTCACGTTCAAAAGGTAGAAATAGTCATGTTGGATCAGGCAAACGAACTATTCGTTTTAAACAAGATGGAAATTTAGAAGAAAATGAGGTAAACAACAATAATTATAATTTAATCTTCAAATATATTTCACATGTTATATTTTTATGTCATTATCATTATTGCTTCTGTAACTGATAGAGTTTAGTTATGTCGAGATTAAGTGAAATATCATTAATTCCATTGGATGATGATCGTGTTGTAGGGACCTAGCCAAATCATCCGGCAGTGGAGTCATTGAATATCGAACAAGTCATCGATCCCTGTCAAGGACAAGGACAACCAATGCGCATCAGTTAATCGTATTCTGTGGACTGGGCAATACGGTGGTTGTTTCACTAACTCGAGTAGGTCTCTAATCATTCGACATAGATCATCTACCTAGGTGATCTACAGTGCAATATCAACAGTTCAACATAGGATTACTGTTCCTATAGTAACATTGTAAAGAGTTTAAAAAACGATAACTTAGACAATTAGTTAAAACTTTTCTACTGTGTGTTGATATCACTTCATTTTGTTCCCCATATCTATGTATACTTCAAATTGTGGTGGTCGGTGTTCGATATATTCCTTAAACTCGGTATACAGTTCGTCTCGGTAACCGACACTAAATAACGCCCCAACGGTATATTACTCAGAAGGCGAATACGAAGTGTTAATTACGTTTATTATGGGACCATACACAGATATCCAAAATTACAGATGCGTTAAGCTAGCATAAAAGAATTGTGCCGAAAAGCAAATAGGCACGCGAGAGAGCGAGGGAGCAAGAGCCAGAGAGCGATAGAGCGAGACGAGAGCAATCGATATGAATATGAATAACATGGACATGTATATATCCATAGTGAAATGAATGAATTATCGAATCAATTAAGCGGTTAATAGTAAGGCTAGTAGCGTGAATAAATGCATAGGTGGTAAGGATTGCTCAAGCATACATGTTCATACATTTGCAACAATAATAAAGATACAATGATGTATATGTATGTTGTTGTACGGATGACTCAGTTCGTTAATAAGTTAATAAAATGATTTAACCGAATTAAATGTGAACAAACATAATAACATGTGAGCTGTTAGAAAATGTAAACATTTTCTTTGTGAAACATAACAATTCTAAAATACTTTACTTATTATTGGTGAGGTTTCATTTGACTATTATTATTTAGTATTATCAGAGAGTTAACAGACAATTTAAAACTATACAGAGAGCATAAGATGTGTTTTGTCCTAGTCATTCACCCCTCAGTAACATCCATTTATAAACCGTAAACTAAGCTGACAATAGTACCATTAAATACATTAACAAATGGAATGATTTCAATGCCACTTAATTTTTAATAGTTTAGTTTATTCCATTAATGATATTTTGGCATGACGTTGATCACTTTTACTTGACATATCTGTGTATCTAATGCATATTATATTGATATTATGACATACGTTTACACAAAATTGATGTAATTTATGTAGTACTAGAATTTAAAACATTCATTCTATCACAATTCAAATTTGTCAATTACATATAACCTCACCGTAGAGTTTATATCCACTTCTACATACAAGCCCAATGTTTATAGCTCAAGTTTCAACTGATTAGACTTAAATACAACAAATAGTAAATCTCAATAGTTGAAATCATGAGTCAATTGAAGCTAGATCATCATGAAAAACCTGGAAGCACTGGACGGCCGTTTTATCCTAGTATGGGACTCCTCAGCAGTGCGTATCCACGATCCCGCCCCCCTGCAAGATTCGAACCCAGGATCAATCAGTCTCGAGCGCGAGCGCTTAAGCATTAGACCACTGAGTCGGCCGGTATCAAACGGTGTCAATGTCTAACTTCAATTGCTAAGGAGTCCCATACTAAGACGAAACAACCGTCTAGTGCTTCCATGTTTTCCATGGTGATCTAGCTTCAATTGACTCATGATTTCAACTAATGAAATTTCTAAAAATCTCCACAAAATCCCTTCTGATTAATAGTAAATCTGCAATACTATTACTAACCACATTTCATCTATTTTATGTATACTTAGAGATTATATTTTCACACTATAATAATTTATATTTTTCACACTTCAATTCTATTCATGAAAAGACTCGATTTTTTTTCTTTTACGTAACATCAAAACAAAACAAGCAATCAATGTCTTATATTGTCGAATAAAATTGTATTTTCACTCAATGAAATAATCACAAATTGTACTTGATGTAGAACACATTTCAACTGATTTATATATTTCATGTGTATCTATGCCTATGTATGTGTGTTTGTGTGTAGGTGTGTGTGTGTAGGTGTGTATGTGTGTGTGTGTGAATGGTATTAATTTCAAGTTTTATTTAGGCTGTAATTTGAGTGATTGTACTTTTTTTTGATGCATTTTTTGTGTAGTGAATACAATACTAAAGAATAATTAGATTAATCAATGTATCAATATTAAGTTAATATGTTTCTAAGGTAGATGTTTGTTTGTTTGTTTGTTTGTTTTTATTCGTTAATTCCGGTGATGATGTTTACAATAAACCAAATATCTATTTCAACTTTTCTTTTTAGAATACTAGACGAACAAGCGTTGAGTTAACATTTATTGAATTGATATCATATTCCCAAAACCCCTCTGTGATAATAATAATCATCATATGCTCCAAGAGATATTTCTTGAAGTTCTAGTAAGAAGCAGTGATTAGCGAAGTTCAACCAGGTCTGTTGTGAGATAGTAACTCACTAAGAACAATGGTGAACGGTAATGTAATTTCGTGGATTAGTTGAAGTTAGATATTCACATGTCAGTGGCGCACGAGACCGATAGGTCCGTGGTTCAAATCTTGCGATGCAAGATTGTGGATGCGCACTGTTGAGGAGTCCCACAATAGATTTCCTATGGTAGTCTAGCTTCAGTTGACTCATTTTTCAATGGAAATGTTCATCTCAAATGTTTTTAGTTAGAGAATCTATGAAAACTAGGAAACAGAAGAAAGCCATTTCATTTCAATACTTCACTTCTTACTAGTATACATCCATTTATATTGCAAATATTTGATAATAAAACATCATAGTGAAAATAATCGATCAGCTGGTTAAAGTATATTAGTATATACTGTGTTGTTATACAATAAGTGAACCGAGTATTATCATTTGTAGTCCTAGAGTTCGAAAAGATCGATAGTTTATTCAAGGACTTGTAGTCATTTAAAAGCTGATTTTTTATTCATGAGTGGAATGGACAGTCATGTTAACTCCACAACTTTCTATCAATAGTCTATCCCAAATAACAGACACTTCACTTAAAGTAGGTTTTCATGTATACTGATCTTACAGTGTTGCATTTGAACTAATTTTATGTAGCTTCTTAGATTCTGTTCGGATATTACTGTGAAAAGTTTTATTAGATTTTAAGAGTGTACAACATAATGTGTTAAAGTGTAATAAAATGTAATATTGGGCCCAACATTCTCTCCTAGTAAGATTAAGAATCTGTTCTTCATTCTATGTTTGTTATAGCTAACTGACAGAAAGTTATTTGAGCTTTGGTGACAAATGATATGTTTTTCAGGATAGTAGTTTGCTTCAATAATAGTACAAACTAATTGAAGTTAGGTAACTATGAAACATCGAAAGCACTATACAGATGTTTTATCCCATTGTAAAACTCATCAGTAGTGCGCATCCAATACCCAATTGGTGGTCTAACTTAGAAGGTTTAGAACAAGCAAAGAGCGATTAACTTTTTGGCTAATTGGTCAGTAGCCAATTATTTTCATATCTAATCATCTTCTACTATCTTCGATAGATAACTGCATCACACTAAACATGGTTGAATTGTAATAGTCAATACTTCTCACTAGAACTCTGTAAAATATCATTCGAATTCAATTCGTAATGAAGAAGATCAACATTCAATTCTAGCAGGAAAATAAATGAATACTTCATTACGATTAGTCAATAGAATAATGTATTATTATAAATCAATCAATTTAATTATATCTGAATTATGTATCAGTCTAAATCAAAATTAAAAGAAAGCTAAATGTTTATTTCATGAATTAAAATAATAATGTAAAATTACAATTGTGAGGATAGTTCATGGATGAACTTGTAGTGGCACTGGGCCCTAACACGAGACAATATAGGAAATAAATATTCAAAATTTAATGTGGAGAAAAACCCGACGATGAGAAAGGCGGGAACAGTGAATTGAATGAATTGGATTTGATCGGATGACATGGCTCTACCATGCAGACGTAGTCCCTGCTGATTGTTACCTTATATCTTTTATTCATATTAAATATATTGTTCTATCTCTAGTCTAGGCTTGTTCTCCATCATGTCTATTATTGAAGTAGTACTGCTATAATAATAAATCTAATCCTAAAATTGTAGATTTGTCATAATATAACTGCCTAATCTATAAGATCTTACATGGAAGTCACACCATGGTCTATACCAACTCGCTGCATCGTAACAATTACCAGTACATGATGAAGAACAAGCCTAGACTAGAGATAGAACAATATATTTATTATGAATAAAAAATATAACATTCGGCATGGACCACGCCTGTATGGCCGAGCTATGCCATCCGATCAACTCCAATTCATTCAATTCATTTTTCCTGCATTCTCCGTTGTTAGGTATTTCTCCGCGTTAAATATTGAATATATACTTTCTGAGTAGTCTCGCATTTACCTTTGAGGATTGTGTGGTTATGGTCCAATGTCACTACAGATCTATTCATAGGTCACGATATGTGGTCAGTGAAAGTTATGTATGACTGAGCAGTGAATTAAATCAAACAGACGCTTAACTTTTTCGGTTGTTTAAACTGTTAACACTGTGAATTTTTATCTTTTGTTGATGTATAAATTTGGGTTTCACAGTGTGTAGACTGGTTGTATTCGTATTGACAAAATCTTATTAAGTCTCTCGTATGGTTCTCAGTTGTTGTTCATTGATCGTGTATCTGGAGATGACGAGACATAGGATAGAGATACAGTCATATCGTTTTTGTCACATATTAGCATTGGTTATACCAGGGACCACGCCT